TGGGTAGAGGGTTAACAAATATTTTCTTCCATTCTCCCTGAAGAATAAAAAGGTTTCTTTGTTTTCGTTTCTCTCTAGATGTTACAGTTTTTTTCTAGAAACTTAAAAATTTTGCACATTTTATTACTACTTGATGAAAGGGAATTATCTTTCTTATACTGAAGTTTCAGCTATGAAATTGGCTTTAATAAACTATGTAATTATTTCATCTGCAGGGAAAATATGTTAAATGGCTTATTTCATTTTTAAGGGGTGGGGGGTTTCAAATAATAAATTTATAATATTCCTGTTCTGCTTTACGTCATTCAGGATGTTTTGTGTATTCTGAATTGAGTGCAACCAAGCAACAGTTTTTCCACTTTATAAGCACCCATGAACTGTAAGACACTACAAAAAATATTCAAGTCCTGTGCTAGAAAAACCCCATGCATACTGTTTTTCCAATCCTATGTCATCTAAAGAAAGAATATCAAAATTTTTCCCGGAGAGCAAGGAACAGCTATCTTTCATTAGTAATTTCATTTCTTCTCTTAATAAGACTCACTTGTGTGAAAAACATGCTGTATTTTACTCTGGCTCTACCCTGTTTCGTAGCACAGGAGTGTGGAGCAAACTTCCAGCATCAGAGCAGGCCAGCAGGGATGTCCCAGCAGAGGCAAAATGTCACACGTAGAGACTGCACCAAGAGCACTTACAAAAGCCGTGACCCCTACCTGTGCATCTTTATTAAATAAAGAAAAGCCAGGTACCTGCTCTGGTTGCTGCAACACATAATGTCAGAATAACACAGAAAGGGAAATGACTGAAGGTCTCTGATAGGTAGGAAGCAGCATCTGTCCTCTTGCATACATCAAACACAGCTTAATAACTTCCTATTTACTGCTTCATGGCAGAGGCCCAGTAAATAAACAACCTGACGGAATTAGTCGATTTTTCTACCTTTGTCCTGTGTAACAAACCTCTTGAACCACGCTTAATGTGAACGGCAAATTTCACACTGCACACGGACATCTCTCAGCACAGATTAAATTAGTTATAATAAAACAATTAAAATCTATTTGCCCACAGACAGGAGGAAATGAAGGACCTGGCTGAGCCACAGAAAGGTAAAGGGTGAGTTGTCAGGGCACCAGGAGAGTAAACAGCAGAGCTGAGATTCTCAGGAGCAAAGCAGGGTCAAACTTACTGTGAGATAACCGTGTGGGATATAATAAATCAGGGCTCCGTATTGCACTCCAGATGGCTGTGCCATGCAGGAAGGCACAGTGGATCATGTAACTGTGGTTGTTTCTAAGGATTACTGATTCAGCCTGCCTTCACAGGGATATCCTAACAAATAAAATCTTTATGGCCTCTTCCGCTGGTGAACATTTTCATCTACTGGTTAAAGTCAGGACATGTCTTAGCATTTGCATTGCCCCGATACATATGCAAAATTAATTTAAGTTCACACAGTTTTGGCTGGTAAAGACTTTTTGATTATCTAGTACTGTAAAGTTGCTTCAGAGCATTTATTGTAAATACTCTGATGGACAGACAGGCCATTGTTCTGAGCTTTAGCTTGGCTGAGTCCCCCAAGTGTTCCAGGCATACAGGCAAACACACTTAAAAACTCCTAAACCTATTGAGTTGTCTTTCAAAATTGTCCAGGCAACAGAATTTATTTATAAAACTCCGCAATCATTGATTCAAAACAAGGTTTTCTTGTTCTGCTTTTCTTCTTTGTCCTCTTTGAACGATTTTCTCTGGAATGTTTTCGTTGTGCTTAGGAGTCGGAGATTTCCTGCGGCTTCTAATAAAGGCATTTGATTTCCACTCTCCACATACTTTAACACATCCAAGGATTTTGAGGTTTGACATTAGCTTAAGAGAGCTGGAGATAATCAGCCATGGGAGTAAAAAGCCAGAGTTACGCAAATTATTTCTAAAAGGTATAGAAAGCAAAAAAAAAATCCTTTAAATGTGGTTGGTATGGGACAGAGTCTTTGTCTCAGCACAGAATATCTGTGTGCTCCCCTTCAAATTTATGGCTTTGATTGAAACCTGTAAAGGGGTGATCTGTAAAGTATTCCTGCTATCCTACACTTCCCAACAGGTTTATTACCATTCGTTTATAAAATGAACAGTCTAACGAGCAGTGGTTTAGATCACAGCTATCAAAGTCTGGTCATTTGTCAAGATTAGTTTCCTGTTGTGAGATTGCCTTGTGCAAAAAGAGTGCATAACCTTGTGTTCCTCTTGGGAAGCTGAAAAAATACCTATAAACACCCTATAAGATAGGTTTAATGAAAATTTTATAATCTCAGAATTCAACCCAACACGCTGCTCTGTGTGTGTGTGTGTGAGAGAGTGTATTTGTGTGAATGCATGTTATAATACGGAGGACCTGTGTACAGGGGAGGGAATTTTCTTGACAAGAGTTAAATTCAGGATATGAAGTCCGTGCAGTATTGTCAGGGCAATTTAATGTTCATTTGAATGAGTTAATCTACACTGATGACAGTGTAATTCGTTATAGCTTAAAGGCTGCCTTGGGAAGCGCTGTTGCAAAAGCACCATCTTTACGGGAATAGTCGGTTGCCAGTAAATAACACAAAGTATTTTCTATTCACATTAGATATATTTATTTTGAAGAAAAAGAAAAAACACAAACACTAAGGCAGTATGACAGCAAAGGTGCAGGTCAGGGAAACAACGGGCTCCACGGGACGAGGAGGTTATCTTTGTGTCCCTGTTCGAGGCAAGGCACAGAGGATTTATGCTTTCCTGGGCTTTTCTTCTTGAAATTGTCCGTAAACTGTGTTGCATTTGTGTTTTCACTGCCACTGGACGGTGGCGGATCGTGCGGTTTGCTTGGAAGGCAACCGGAGGCAGCCGCAGCCCGTCCTGGAGCGGTCCCAGCCCTGCCGGGGGCCGCAGCGCTCCCCGGCCGCAGAGCCCTCCCGGGGAAGGAGAGGGGAGGTGGGCACCTGCCCAGGGCAGGCGGGGTCCCTGGAGCCGTGTGCGAGCGTCCCCAGGGCGGCCGCAATCCCGGGGCAGCCGGGCATCGGCACCCGGGACCGGGCATTGGCACCCGGGGCCGGCCCGTCCCTCCCGGTGCAGCCGGGCATCGGCACCCGCGGCCGGGCATTGGCACCCGGGGCCGGCCCGTCCCTCCCCGCGGCCGGCGGGAGCGGCAGGGTGCAGGTACATGCGGGGACAGAGCCTTCGCACCAGCTCTGCCTCTCCTGGGGTCTCCTCCAGGTGTGCCCGTCCTGAGGGCATCCCCTCGGACAGAGAGGCCAGGCTTGGTTAAATGAGTCAAATAGGTTTAAGCAGTTGAACAGAAACAAACACTGTAGTGCACCTTTTTTTTTTTTTTCCTCCCCTCTTTGTGTGTTAATCCTTTCAGATATAAAATTGTGCAGAGGTAAAAATATTTTCTGCTTAGGAATTTGCTGGCTAAAGCATTGTAAGGAAAACCTTGCAGACAAAGCAAATGGAGCATGTGGAATAAGGCATCCTGTTCATGGCAGTGCCCAGGGTCCGGGGTGCATCAGTTTCCTTTGCATCAATTTAATTCATTACATACCTGAAGAAGAGCCACTCAGTCCACCTTGCACCGCTGTTACCCTGAGGCTGTGGTCGTGCAAAGGTGTGCACCGAGCTGGCCAGGCTCCTGCTGTGGTCACTCCCAGGTACAGCCAGGAGCACCCCAGTTCCCGTCTCTCAGCCATTTTCTGGATGCTGTGTGCAACCATATTGACATTTGCTTTTCCCTCCTGCCCACTCTGACTCCAGCCCTTTGCCGAGGGCTTGTACTGCCATTTTCCTGCACTTCTCAGCTCAGACAAAATGGAGGCTCTGGAGGAATGAATAACGACCACAGCTTTAGCCTTCTAAAATCAGAGAGAATTGGCTTTTTTGTGAAAAATTATAATTTTGATGACAGAAAAAAGTCAGCATACCCCATGCTAAAAGGCAGAATCTAATTTTTTTTTTCTGTGAGCACTCTGGTGCAGTGGTGTTCATTTCCTTGCTGAAATGTAAATGTTCGTGCACCTTGCACTGTGATGTATTGCCATAAAAGACACTGAATTTCAAATCACCAGCACACCATGTGACACAGGGATGTAACAGCAATCCGTCTTTATTTGAGGCAGCCCTTTTCTGAAATCTCACTTAGGGAGATTCCCAGTTGCCATTAGGAAAGCAAAATAAAATTAATCTAAATAATTCTAACTTAAACCTAGAAAATTAATGATGGATGAAAGACAGGGTTTACAGAGCATTAATAAGAACTAGTCTGGATGCAGTGTGTGTTCTAGGGTCTGTGATTATACTGGTAATTTGACAGATTGTATCACTGCCTATCTCTGCCAAAGGATGTTTCACACCATTTAAAATGCACAGTACTTCCTTCAGAGACAGGTTGTTCTGGAATAACTCAACATCCAAAGGAAAGCTGTGTTATTTCACTCCTCTCTTTATTGATTGCATGTGTACAATCATGTGTGTATGCACACGTGCTGACTTTGCCTCAGCAAAAGCACAAAGTTTTCATGCTCATTTCTGTGTTTATCAGCCTCCTCAGAGACAGAGAATACCAAAAATGGAAAGTCTGTTCAGAATAGGGCTTAAGTGCTGAAACAAGAGACCCTGCATAAAACAAAGCATGAGCTGGTCCTTCCTCTAAAAGGTGAATTGAAATACATTTGTGTTTAAGCAATTATCTGACTTTGGGAGCTCCGTTTTGCTTCTCATTTTGAAAAGGAAAAAACCACTGAGATAAGGACAGATCTTAGTGGGCTTTGTCCAGGAAAGGTGATTTAGGGAATCTCAAGATCAAAGGAATTGAGATTTGAAAAAATTGCACGTCTATGCTATTTTCAAGCCTAAGGATGCGAGTCTTGCCGTGTGCAGAAGCACGAGCCAGGCTGATGTGTGCAGACATTGCTGGATTTAGATCCACGCAGGGTGTGATCTGCTGCTGCCCTTGACTGTGCTGCTCTCCCTTGCAGGCTGTTTGCTGCCAAGTGCAGCGGCTGCATGGAGAAGATCGCGCCGACAGAGTTCGTGATGCGCGCCCTGGAGTGCGTGTACCACCTGAGCTGCTTCTGCTGCTGCGTCTGCGAGCGCCAGCTGAGGAAAGGGGACGAGTTTGTCCTCAAGGAAGGGCAGCTGCTCTGCAAAAGTGACTATGAGAAAGAGAAAGACTTGTTGAGCTCGGTCAGCCCAGACGACTCAGACTCAGGTGAGCTTTTCCCACACCTGCTCTGACTGGAAAAGCTGCATGGGTCTGTAGAGCTTTTGTATAGAAAAGTGCATCCATCTTCACATCTACTTCATCTGTATGCATGTGCCACCTATGCAAATTTGCAGGCACAGCTGAAAACATTCCTACTGGCAGTCTGCTTTCCCTAACCTGACTCTCTTCCTTAACCTCCTGCTTAGTAAAAGACAAAATCTTTTTGCTTTCATCGATGTGTTTTTCTGTAAGATCATAAAGCATGAATCAGACTGACTTTAGCTACTCAAGGTCTCACTTAAGTAAGGTACCAGTACGCTGTTCTCTGTAGGCATTCTTCCATCCACTTTAACATATTTTTCAGGGGATCTTCTTCAATTTCAGCACTAAACTAGGAAAATGGGCAGAGCAGTAATATGATTTTCAAGAGGAATCTCTCTGCCAATTACAAATAGTACCTTTAAAAAAGATTGCAAGTGCAACACAGAAGTACTGAAGAGAATCTGAAAGTAACTGAGATGTGGGTTTGTGCCATCATAATCACACTGTTGTTTTCCAAGAAAATCAACAGTTACCATTCCATTACATGTACAAATTATATATTTGCCTCTGGTTTATGGGAAAATGTGTTACTCTATTTTAACTGGTAGCAGAAATTATCTTTGATCTCTAATCTGAGAGTCATATTCTCCACATTGCTAAAATTTGTATTTCCACACCCGGAATACCTGGTGTGGAAATACGCAAAGGTGTCTTCATGGGACCAGGGCCACTGTTGGAGCAGTGTTTTAGTTATTGTCCAGCTGCATTTGCAGGACCTTGGGTGCTCTGCTCAGTAAATCTCAAGTCAGAGGCTCTGGGTTCTGGTGAAGGGGCCTGAGGCATGTGAGGCATGTGCTGGCAGCTCCTCGGCCATCAGCAGCCTTGCCCCAGGGACCCACAGTGCACCTGCCTGGTGTCCACCCAGCCCCTGACCACTCCTGTGAGGCCGTCCCCACGCTGGGCTGGCCGCAGCACCTTCCCCACTGCTGTCCTCACTCACACAGCTGCTGCTGGCAGCTGCACTGGGCACCAGCTCTGAGCAGGGCTGGGCTCCTCTTCGGGACCAGACTGACTTGTGATCTGCAGCGAGCAGCTACCACAGGAGCACAAACCAGTCTTGGTTTCAATTTCATTTCCCTTTGGCACAAAGGGGAGTTTCTTAGTCCTGGAGATGCTTTTTTTTCCCTCATTATTCTCTGTTAGTCAAACCCAAACCTGAAAAACAAGCTGACAAATTAAACAAGTTGTTTGTCTCCCATTGTCTAACACAGTGAAAACACTGATCTCCCAGGGGTCTGCATGAGAGCACACAATCTGCAAAGCCCTGGCTGAGAATGTGTCCTGCTTCAATCAAATATTTATCCACTGGACACAAGAGTAACTCTCCAATGAGCAGTATTAATCCTCACAAACCTTTCCTTAGAAATGGCATGCTGGAAAGTTAATAATGTCATGGTTATTAAAATGACTGAACTTCCCTTTAATCATTAGGCCAAAGATGCTTATTAAAGTAAAAGATAATTAGACTGCTAGGTGCATAATAATCAGACCCTAAAATGAATTAAAGTCTAATTTGTTGATTCCCCAAATGTAGTCTTTCAGTATATAAAAAATTCCATGTGTTTCTTCATGCTGAAGTCCCTATAATAATGTGATAGTGTTTTCTGGAAGAAAAATCAGTAGTCTGGTCAAATAAAATATGCTGACTTGAAAGGTTGATTTTCTCAACAAAATGTGTATTTACCCATCAACCTCTGCCACTGTGCTTGAGATTTCCCAGGACAATATACTAACATATGTAATATCACCAGATTATATGAGTATTCAGAATTTAATTATAGAAAATACAAATAATCTCTTTGGTCTACACAAGCACATAGATACTTGTATGCATTTACTGAAAAAGAGAAGTTTGTGCTTGTACATACAGACACGTTTTAATGCACAGAGGAAGATTACTGACGTTTTCTGTGGGAAGTAGAAATGAGATGGCAAAGATTGTATTTAATATTATTGCTGGAGCTTCAAAACATTCAAAACAGTATTCAATAACTGGAATCTGTACTATATTGAGTTAGATGGGCTTTGAGATACTTGTGTGATACTTGCTTTATGCTGTTTTGCTGCTGTAGCAGTGCAGGCAGTAGTACCTGTCTGCAGATAATGCTTCGGGAGAAGCTGAAGTTCAGCTGTGAAGGTGAAGCTGGTGCTGAGATTGGGGCAGGTGAGCACATGGGACCAAGAGGTGCTGGAAGAGCACAAAGTGTCTCTGTGCCCAATTCCTGGAAATACTGAAGCATTTTCTGCGTTTCCATCCCCTGATCAGGACTTCAATTAAAAATTGAAAACATTTTTATGCTTTTGTGGCATTTGATTTAGTCAGAGCACACAGATCTGAGAGAGTCTCTTCCTGCCCACAGCTGCTTTAGGTGTTCAAATAACCATGGGACAATAGTTGAACCTGTTGACAGAAGAGCAGTTCTCAAAGATCCTGTTTTCTTGGTGGAACAAGTGCAATTATATATCCTTTTTTCACCAGTCAAAAGTGATGATGAAGATGGAGATGTTAAGCCCACCAAAGGCCAAGTAACCCAAGGGAAAGGAAGTGATGATGGGAAGGACCCAAGGAGACCTAAACGACCAAGGACAATACTTACTACACAGCAGAGACGAGCATTCAAAGCATCCTTTGAAGTGTCTTCGAAGCCCTGCAGAAAGGTAGGTGCTTCAGCAGGGCCCAAGCCAGCCCTGACACCTGGCCACAGCCGCAGACAGCCCCTCCTGGGGCAAGAGCAGCTCTCCCGGGGTGAACGCAGAGCACTCTTTTTGCACAGAAGTCTTTTATGGGTAAAATTTGGTGTCATTTTCCTCAGCTCAGACTCTTTGTTCGGTAGTTACAGAACTGGTAGTGCTATTGGGGCAGAACTTGACAACACTATGCAAAAATATGATGAATTTTTAAAAGTAATTCCATACATGCAATTTTTGTTCTAAGTACAAACATTCCTCCTAACAAAACTGATTAGTGGTTTTTTGTGTTGGGTTTTTTTTTTTTAACTTATGAAAAATTGCATCATTAAGCATTTCCTCCTGCAGGTCAGAGAAACATTGGCAGCTGAAACAGGGCTCAGTGTGCGAGTCGTCCAAGTCTGGTTTCAAAACCAAAGAGCAAAGGTAGGCTGTTTGTCCCATCCTCCAAAGTCAAATGCAGGCTGTGCTCTTGCCCTGGCTGCAGCTCACACTGCAGAGGCCCCACAGCTGAGCTCTGCGTGTTCTGCCTGCTCTGCTCTCTACATCCACTGGAAAGGCAACTTCCAAACACAGACATCAAATTAATATGCTCAAAGCAATTCAGGGTTGGGAGTAAATTTTGCATGCAAATCTGAACTGGAAACTGAAGTGTTTAAGCTTAGAATTGAAACTGAACCCACAACATTGTGTGCATAAGTATAAATGGTCTGTGTTAACTGATAAGATGTTTGCAGAGAGTTTTGTAAGAAAACAAAATTGTTGCATTTGGAGCTACAAGAATGTTGTGTTCTTCTGCTTGTTTTCAGATGAAAAAGCTGGCACGGAGGCACCAACAGCAGCAGGAGCAACAGAACTCGCAGCGACTAGGGCAAGGTAGGGGATTTGTGAAAGAGCAAAGTGAGAGAGAAAGAATCTGCAGCTGTCTGGAGGTGCCATTCCCACATGTCACTTCAGCAGAGCCATGCAGGGCGCACGCAGGGCTGCGGGTGACGTGTGCCATCAGCAGTGGAAGGACACAAAGGTGTGCCTGAGTGCCCATGACAGGTTACTCCAAGTTCTCCTGGTGGGATCAGACCCCAGAGGTGCTCATGCAGAAGCTGTTACCTCGTTTCTAGTAGGAATGTGCCACGTGGAAGTGTCTGCACTGGAGGAAATCTCCAGGAGCCTTGCTCCAGGCAGGTCCTTCAGTTTGTTTTCCTCTGCAGGAAGGGGCACAGTGCTCAGCTGGCAATCTGCACAGGCATCAGCGTTACTGCCCCAGCCAAGGCACAGAGAGCCCCTCCTGTGCCCTCACAAGTGTCTGGACCCTGGGCCAGACACTGCACCCAGGAACTGGAACTTGCTCTGCTGCTCTCTGGGTACTCTTGAGTATCTCCAGCTCCCAAGACCTTGCAGCCTTAAATCCTCGACTTTACCCAGAGCAGAAAAACTGGGATCAGCAGGAGTTAGAGAATAACTGGGCTCTGTCAGACAGAATATATGGACTTTGGGAGGATAAGGTCCAGGACCTAGGAGCTCCAGAAATTATGTAGAAATTACAAGTCTTTCAGCTTATTGCTCAGGCCTCTACGCTCAGACAAAATCTGGAAAGTTTCTCTGACTGACAGGATACCCCAGACTGCATTTGCTAGGGTTCATTGTTGCCACTGATTCTGCCCTGTTCCCCAGCAGTAACTGTTCCTCCTCTTTGCTTTGCAGAAGTAATGTCCAACCGAATGGAAGGGATGATGACATCTTACACCCCACTTGCACCACCACAGCAGCAGATTGTAGCAATGGAGCAAAGCAGTTATGGCACAGACCCATTTCAGCAGGGTCTTACCCCTCCACAAATGCCAGGCGACCACATGAACCCCTATGGTAAGGCATGCCTCATTCTGCCACATCCCAAGTAGCTGGGTCCGTGTGCTGGATCACACTCCATAGGGGCAGCAGCTTTACTGACTTTTAGAATATTTTTTCTGGGATTTGTACCAGGGAATTTGTACCAGTCAGTTTTATGTGTGTATTTTCTTGTACACATAAAGGGGTAGAACAGAGCTCATCTCAAGCTCTGAACACCTTTCAGAACTATTTCACAGTATAATTTTGATAAACAATAAGCAAGCAACATCACCTCTCCAAGCTCCACTTTTTTAAACCACTGTCCAAGACACTGAAAAATAAACAGTACCAAATTCTAGCTCCCTCACAAATTTTTCCTTTTTTCTTAGAAGCTTTGAGGAAAAAGTGCCTTCAATAAAGAGAAGTAATCTATTCATTACAAAATGAATAAGCAGCCCTGTAAGACCACTCAGATTGGATGCGTGGATTTGTTAAAGAACAGCTCTTGAGCCACTAAGAGATGGGTTACCACAGGACATTTCTCCTGCATAGTTTTATTCTCTGTCCCAAATCAAGATGACGGTTTGCTTTCACGATTGCTTGACCCCACATCAAACGCATTACAAGCACTAAATGCTCAATTATTGGCTCTGGACAATTGCAGTGTGGCATTTAAAAAGAATGTCAGAGGATTTTTCAGACTGTGATTCTCGGCCTTGCGGTAGCCCACAAGGGCCTGTTTCAGACTCCTTTCTGCTGACCAGGAGCACTTCACTGTAGAGGCTCACATGCGCATCACTGTCCCCAGCACAGCGTGCACAGGCCAACAGGAAATCTGCTTTGGGTCTGTGTCATTACTTTTGCCACTGAGACAAGTCCATGGTGCACACCAGGAAGTTTGGGAGGTCCTGTAAGGAGCTCAGGACATATGAAGTGCCCTCGAGCAATAGGTGGCTTGTGATTTTGTTGGTTTGCTCGGCTTTCTGAGTGAAACTCCTTGGGAAGTAGGTTCTGTGCTCCAAAAGGGGTGCAGGGGATGGCACAAAGCCCTTTCAAATGAGTGTGTGAGGAAAAAGAACCAGACTAACACTTTTGCAGAGCCCCTAGGACTTGAGCTAGAGCTTTTTCTGGTACCTTCAGGGTTGAAGTAAGCTGAAATCTTAGATGCTAAGGGAAATACAAGGTGCTGTTCCAGACCAGCCCTGAAAGAGTGGAATTTTCTGAAAGGAGACCATTTTTAGAGCTGTAGCTCACTTGAGGCCAGGGAAACTAGGTCTCTTCCTGGGTCCTGTCACACTGGTAGAACTTTTGCCTTGTGTGTATATGAAGACCAGTATGATTATGGCCTTTAGACCATGCCTCCCTGTCATGGGCACCCTGGTTCCACCTTTCTTGACAGTCCTGGTGCTCCCATGAGTGCTGTAGCCCGTGGAGAAGCTGGGGACCTGCTCCTCCCCAGCACCCTCTGCTCCTGTTGTCAGCCATGACTCTGTTTTGTGCTGCTGGCTGAAAGTGAAATTAAACCCCGGCAGGTTTGGGCGCATTGCTGCCAGCTGACCCCTGTGGGTTGATTTCAAGCCCTCGTCCTTGTAGGTCAGACCCTCGTAGCCAAAGCGTGCTAGCATGTGAGCACAGGAGCAGGAGTGTTCCCGCTCGCTGCAGCACGTGAGCATCCGTGTGTGCTGTGTCCTCCCCGGCTGCGCAGCCTCCAGCCTAACGTGTGCGTTTCATTTGCAGGAAACGACTCCATTTTTCATGATATCGACAGTGATACCTCTTTAACTAGCTTGAGCGACTGTTTTCTTGCCTCTTCCGAAGTTAACTCCATGCAGGCTAGAGTAGGAAACCCCATTGACAGGCTGTACTCTATGCAGAGCTCCTATTTCGCCTCATGAAAGTAAAGAAAACTAACAGCCGGCGTGTGTTTAGCCAGTGACTTTTCCAGTGCAGACTCTACAGCCATATGTTGCCCAGCTCTTCCTTCACAGTGACTCTGCTGCCTCTGGACTGCAAAGAGCATTTTTTTAGGAAGACTGTCTCTGTTTGCATATATGTGTATGTATGTACATATATTTTAATACCTACATACATACATATATAGAGAGACAAAACACATCCACCCGTCCCATACCCTTGATTCCCAGCTGGCGCCAGACCACGAGACAAGCACGGAAGGAACAGAAGAACCTGCTCGTCCTCAGCCTTTGATCTGGTTTGGTTTGAGCTCATCATCTTAAAAGAAATGGATTTTGTGGAAAGCTAGACCTTTTCCTCCTCTCTCTTCTCCTTTCTTTTGGATGTCTAAACTTTTTTTTTAGCCACTGATACTGACATCAGTCAACCATATGACAAATAAATCAAAGAAACTGGAGATTCCTCCTTTTCTTACTGCATGATTCATACTATATTGTGGATAAATTTCCATTTGAACTGTGAGAAGTTAATGTAAATGTGACGTTCAACATTTGTTTCCTTTCTACACTTTTTCTACATAACCTAGATCTGCTCATTAGTTTATAGCCCTTATGCGTATGATACTGAGGAAACTGGTTAGCAGTATTTGTGGAAAAAGCCAGTGATTTCAGAGTAAGAAAGGTCTATGACCCCGGAGAGGAGATGCATGTTAGGGGCAGAGGCATTTAGGTTAGTATTGATCTTAAATAATTAAAACTAAAGGTGCTTACAAGACAGATCTATTTAATTTTTTTCTGAAGTGTGAGATTAAAATATTTACATTTGTTTGTAAGTATTGCAGTGCCAAATTTCAAGTCTAGACCATGATTGGCAAAGAAGTGTTTTTCATTCTGTTCTGTTTATTTGTTTTGCATGAGGCATAAATGTGCTGTTCTTTATTGTCCATCTGGAATAATTAAGCACTCCTTTAGTTACCTTGCCTCAGCAAGAATCAAGGATACACAGTTCTAGCCTGAAACACCAGAAGTCCTGAAATGTGCACCAGCCAGGAACAACAAACTGTGAAAGAAATGACAATGGGAAGTTCAGGTGTGCTGAGCTGAAATTTTAGCAGGGCCTGCCAGGACTCCTGGCTGTGGTGCCAGCTGAGTGAGCAGTGTGAGCTCTGCAAGGACAGCCGCACCGACAGAGGGGTGGCCCAGCTGACGTCTGTCTCTGATGCTGAAGTTTAAGCATATGTCATATAGATTTTTGTAGGGCATAAAATATCATAAATAATAATAGTATAGCTATAAATATTGCCTGGTGATAATTATAATGTGGAGAAGCAGACAAGTACAGTCATGGCTCTCAGTAGAGAAAACTTCGTGGGGAATATTTGCCAGGGTAATATCAGTAATTATAGGGTGTGTTCAAAATAGAGCTCATGGGGAAAGATTGGCAGGATAGGCACTTTCTTAAATAAATACCTTTAATATATTGACCATAATAGCTGAAAAACAAGTCCAAAGCTTTCGTTAATCTAACTCCTCCAGGCTGAGGACTGGTACCAGGCCAGCATGGCAGTGTCCCTGCGGGGCTTGGCATCTCCTGTGGGAGCGGGGGTCTCCATGGAGGGGAGCCAGAGCAGGACCCCCGTAGCCCCAGCCCCAGGGAGGGAGCAGCCCCAGTGCAGGGAGTCCTGCTGGGAGCCCCGCAGCCGCTGATGGAGACAGGCCCTCCTGGGGTTCCAGAGGCACGGGTGGGAAGGGCAGGATGATGGCTCCAAGGGAAAAAATACCATTTCCCCCAGCATGGAAGTGTGCACTGAGTGTGTTGGACGTTTCTTGAGAAAGCCAAGGTTTATCTGCAGTGCAAGTGCATAGGTTCTCACTCTGGAGAGAATGAGAGCACCGTGGATGAGGCTCTGTGTGTGTGTGTCTGTGTGTCTGTGTGTGTCTGTGTGTGCCTGTGTGTGTCTGTGTGTCTGTGTGTATGTGTGTGTGCATGTGTGTCTGTGTCTGTGTGTCTGTCTCTGTCTGTGTCTGTGTGTCTGTGTGTCTGTGTTCGTGTGTCCCTGTGTGTGTCTGTGTCCGTGTGTCTGTCTCTGTCTGTGTCTGTGTGTCTGTGTGTCTGTGTGTGTGTGTGTGTGCATGTGTGTCTGTGTCCGTGTGTCTGTCTCTGTCTGTGTCTGTGTGTCTGTGTGTGTGTGTGTGCATGTGTGTCTGTGTTCGTGTGTCCCTGTGTGTGTCTGTGTCCGTGTGTCTGTCTCTGTCTGTGTCTGTGTGTCTGTGTCCCTGAGTGTGTGCAGGGGGGCAGAGCTCAGTCCAAGGACCGTCCTCCCACTGCTTGAGGTGCAGAGCCCCTGTGTCCCACACACAGCCTTGGCCAGTAAAGGGACTGGTGGCTCTGCAAGGGTTCCAGGGGACTTTCCTGTCCCTGTCCCTGATTGCTGCCATCCCCAGGAAGGTGGGTTTGTTGTGTCCATATGCTTTGCCTAGTGACCATTCCCTGCTTTCTGGCAAGGATGTGGTTTCAACTGAGCATTGTGAGCCCCTGGATATATTTTGAAATGGAAAGGATTTTCTTTTCTTACCCATCCTGTTCAAGTATTTTACCCTTTCTTTGTGTAACAAAATAACAATTTCCTTTCTCTCTGCATGATAGCAAACATCTATAAAGAACTCAGGTGATCCTCACTGCTTGCAGGGCAGAAGCAAGCAGGTTTCATATGGCACATGTAAACAAGTCATTTGTCACCACCGACCTCAATGGAGTCATCATTTCCCTCTTCTCCCCTCTGCTGTGCTACTTTACAGTCATAGAAAAGCCTCTCAGATGCACCAGTTTGTAGACTCCTCATACAAGCACAGCCTTGCTTCATATCTCATTACTGGCAGGATCAAAATGGCATTTTTGGTGTTTACAGGGACTTAAATGAGAACTATAACATGACCTATAGTTTGAAGAACTGCCTTGTCCCAACTCTACCTCTGCATCTGGGATGGATGTTGAAAAATAATCCGTCTCCAAGGAAAAAATCAGACATCCCATTTTATAGCTGAAGTATAATTCTTTGCTGATTTTTTGGATGACTGTTTGCCACCTTTTTTTTTCATGCTTGTACATACTATCTCCTCTCCCTTGGTGTGTCGTATGATGATGCCTTAGCTGTTTGTTGCCCCATGTTCTGCCACCCTTGGAGCCACACACACGCACACATTCAGGCCCTTGGCACGTGTAACATCTTCCATGCCATGGTGGGCCGCTGCTGGTCCAGGGAAGGAATGCATAGGCAATGATTTCCAGTGGGCCTGCAATAGCTGGCAAAGGCCAAAGTTCATTAAAGCAAAATAAATGTCACTTTCTTTTTGTGGAATAAATTATCCTACTGGAGTGTGATCATTGTGGTTTTAACCTGGGACCTTGCAGTAAAAGATTATACAGCAACCTCTGACCTCTTTGATTTCTGCTTTACTCTTCTGTTGTCAAGGGAATGTCTCTGATCAGGTGAAAGTAAAATGTTTAATGGGCCATATCACAGTAATACCTTACATTGAGTCAAATTGATAAACTCTTGCCAAAAATTCTTAGCATCTGGCACTTCCACGGAAACCACAAACAGTGATTGCACATATGGGAGCTCAAAGGCTAGAGGTCATGACAGCAGTTTATTACATGCACCTTACAGTAATCATTTTCCCTAGGAAATTAACCCCTCTCTAACAGAAACGCATCAAGTGAGCTCTTCACAGTATTTCCATCATATTGTTTTGGCTAATCAAGGAATAAGTGTGCAGCTAAAGTGGCGACAAGATGCAATTAAGTAAAAGATGATTGATTAGGTTTCAGTGTGCTTAATAATGTATAAAAAAGATGATTGAGAGATCAGAATGAATATGCTGGGTACGAGCTCAGAGGTCCTTCTTGTGCAGCTGCAGGTCTGTGAGGGTGGCAGAGGGTTCCCAGCGCCCTGAGCAGTTACTGAGCTGCCTGGTGTGGGTGCCAGGTGGGTTCTGGGGTGCAGCAGCACCTTCCCTTGGCGTGGCTTGCTGCCGAGGGGATGGCTCGGGCTGTGCTGCCTTTCCAGACCCTCCTCATCGCTGCCCTGAGAGCAGCCCTGCGGCTGGTGGCAGACATTTCACAGTCACAATACTGAAGGTAATTATGTTGCTGTAATGAACGGTGGTGGTTACACTCACTTATATTGGAACATCATCCTGGGTATTTTGATCTCCTTTTCTTCTTTAAACTCTGTCATCAAAAACATCCAGATCACTTGGCTCAGTCGCAGCTAAGCATGCCTGAGATGTGGCTCATGTTAGTCGCACAGTAGCTGCTGAGTGGATTTTTCAGATCCACCCTGCAGAGCTCAGATGATCATTGCCAGGTCCTTTGAAGGGTCATTGCTCAGCCAGCACGCTGTGCATCATGTCATGGGGAAGGTCCTTCATGCCAGCAAACCTTCCAGAGATGATGTGAACCCACTTCCCTCTTCCTACTGTGCTCAGGACTCCCTTCCAGTTTCCTTAAGGGTCAGAGGTATATCCCAAGCCACTGCCCCAGGTATTCCAGTGAACCCGGCTCTGGGATGCTGCTGGGATGCTGCAAGCTGGGCTTTACAAGAGCACCTCTGTGAACCATGTCATAAGAACTCTGGTTCTCTCTGAAAGTCACTAGAAATGAGCAGCAGAATCATGAGGAAGGGAAGGATTCTCACAAGCTGGAGCTGGGTCACAGCAGTGAAAAGACAGAGGCAGCTGAAGCACAACATGGCTGTGGGAGCTGGAGCCACAGTACCCAGAGTATCAGTGCTTCGGATCGTGCTTCACACAGCCCCATGCCCGACTCACCCCACGAATTTGTGACCAGTAGCTGCTCCCTAGCAGGGTCCCTCCAGAGCCCCCTTCCATGGCCTGGGGGCACAGGGCAGCCACAAGGCCAGCACTTCAGGCACCGCTGCTCCTTGCTTAGGGACGTGCTTGGGCATTTGCTTGCCTGAAGTCTCTTGGCTTTGGTGGGCTTTCAACACGGTCTTGCTTCTCTGAGGCCGATCTGACTGTGCTGATGGCTGTTTCCCTCCTGCTGGCTGCAGCCTGGATCACCTTGGCTTGGTGCACTCTGGTTCTGTTCAGCAGCAGCTGTGAAGGGGCTGCCAGATACTTTGCATTGGGAACTCTGTTTTTAGGTGAACACCCTATTTTTTAGCTGTGTATGGCTGTATTACTTGTATATTTATATATTCTGTATTTATGTTATCGAAATGTAGTATTTTGTAGCTGTCTGTTACAATTTGTTTAACTTG